CTCGGCGGCGTGAAATTCCTCCTCGCGTCTCTCAGACATGTTTTCCTTCGTGGTGGTTAACTTGAGTTGAACTGCAGCACAATACTCAACCAGCAGTCAAAAGGGAGAATGAAATTATTAAAAAAAAACATGCAGAGACACGACTCCACGCAGCCGCAACAAAAACGAGAGAGAGAGGGCCACCCACACACGGCACGCGGCGCACACACACACACAAACACAAACACGCACAGGCACCCCCAATCCCGCACACAACGCAAGCGTGATGCATCACGGCACCCTCCCACACAAACAACGAGAGCAAATTAGATCTCCCTAGGCAAACCGTGCAAATTGCGCGGCACACAACAACTGCGATGAGGCTTCTATCTTCTTCTCGTATTGCACTCGCCACTCGGATCCCCACAACTCCGTGTGTGCGTAGTCACACGTAGATATCACCCACTCACAGTGAAATTGACTGCCTCGTCGCGGTGGCATTTTGCGCTGCAATTCGCTGAGGTGCAAAGAGGCAGACCATCAGCCGCCTCTTCCTTCACCCGCGAAAAGGAGAATGGACGCCACCGCATTCTCCCCCACGACTCAAACATACGCTGCGCCCAGCACGTGGTGCGGTGCACGTGAATTCCGCGAGGGAACTGTTTGCCACACGACTGGGCCGCACGGGGTGCAGCCTGCAAAGGCAGCCGCAGACGCCTCCGTTTCCTTCAGTCGTCGTGGCGGTGGAACCCACAGCTTCTCAGCGTGCCGTTGCAGTTGACGGTGCCAACAAAAAGAGTGCGGCAGCATATTCCCCACTGCAAGAGCAGAAGCGGCAGCCCCACTCTGCTGCCACCGCACCACCCAGTAAGCCCCACACAATCTTCCGTATTTCTTTTTGAGGCCGCACGCCCCGTGCCACGCCGTTGCAGTTGACGGTGCCGCGCCTCAAGACAACACCCCCGCAAGCAGCGCCCTGCCTTCGCAAGGAAAGGGAGTGAGTCACAGCGCACATTATTCCTTTGTCGTTGCCTCGGTCTCTTCATACTCACAAAAGGCAGCAGCAGCCACAGGCGGCACTGCCAGCACCAACTACGAAAACACTCTCCACGCGCACTGCAATATATCGAGTTTGTGCGTCTGCGTGCCTGCAGATACAAAAATTTTAAAAAAGGGAGAGCAAAGCGTGTGAGGACGCACATGCACACAGAAGAGACGCAGGACGCAAGGAGAAAAAAAAGAGATGACTAAAACACAAAATGGCACCGCAGCACGCGCAGTGGCAACACACAAGAAATATGGTTCAACAAAAAAAAAACTCCTCAAGACGTTTGCATAAAAAAATAAAAAATGAAAAAAAAATCCTAAAAACGATTTCACAAAAACAAAAAAATACTCCTAAAGACGTTTGCACAAAACAAAAACAAAATAAATTGTCGTGCAAGGCCCCCGGTGTCCAGACACCTTTTTACTCGCACAGGGACCCGCAGTGCGTTGCTGTGGCTCTCTCTCCCTTCCTCCTTCCTTCTCCCATTGGCGGACACACAATGCCGAGAGTGTCCGCAGACACCCAAGAAAAGCGGTTAGTTGTTTTTCCTCGTGTATTTTCGAAAGAATTCAGTGGCCTGCGCGTCAGCCAGCACAGTGGCACACGTCCGCCCCCGCCACAAACGAAGACGTGAAGGAGAGAGAGAGCTCCGGTCCCTCCTGCGGCGACAGCAGTGCGGGGGCGCAGTGAAGCATCCCCCGCCGCCGGGCAAACACGCAGACTCAACGCCGTCGTCAAGAACAAACCAAGAAAACAACAATAAAAACACATCCGTAAAGCAGTAAACCAACAAAACACTGAACAAATAAATAAAAACGGCGAATGGCCCCCCGCCATTGCCAGAAACGAACAAAACAACAAACAAAAAAGGGAGGAAGAAAATAAATGAAGACCCCGCCGTACTGGCGCCGAGGAGAGAGCGCAATTTGTGGGTCGAAGAATAAAAAAATGAAGGTCCTGCGTTACAAAAAAAAAAACGTAAAATAAAACAAAATTAGTGTCCACCTGAGACTTTATTTACTTTAAAAGCGCGTGGACAGACGGAGCTGCTCTCAGTAGAAACATCAACTCCCCTCCGCCGGGCCACACTCAGCACAGGGCCGCAAAGCCCCATAGCCCCACAAACAGCAAAAGTAGCAGCCGAGACACATCAGCACGCGTGGAGCTGTCACCTGCACTTTTCCAAGATACATCAGACTGGTCAACTGCTTTGAGTTCATCTTCACTTAGTCGGCGGTTGTACAAAAAGACGTTCTTTACTGTCACACTGCTGTTTTTGCCGCCACCAAAGTAAAAGTAAGAGATATCATGCCTCCGTAACTTAAGGGTTGGTAGTTTGTTAGTATTCCCCACAAGCACGCCGTCCACGTACACGGAGCCCTCGTTACCCTCCAGCATGAGCGCCACTTTGTACTTCTTCCCCAGCTTCCAAGTGCTGTTGTGTGTTATTCTCGTGATATCGTTGAAGACTGTCCCCCACCGTTTCTCCGTCGTGTACGACAGCCCCACAAACCTCGTGTTTCCCTTGTCATTCAGGCCTGCACCCAGCAGAGGAACGCTCTCTTTCGGAACCTCATCGATCTTCACTGTCGCCACAAGCGTAAACGCGTAGTTCACAAAGCTGTGCACATAGTGATACTTCCGCATGTTCACAGGCCACATGGCGTATGATTCGGACCCCGTGAACTTAAAGCCATTTTCGACCTTCTTTGCATTCGTCACAGTTGCATTCAAACAACGGTACGCGTCGTTCCACGTTCCTTCACCCGATGCATCCGACAAGAATCCAACCAGACCGGCCGTGGGCACAGACGACTTGGAGAAGAAGTAGTCCAGTTTTGCCCAAGTCTCCAAGACGGACGTGATCGTCTTCAGCTGTTCCGTTAGGGAAGCAAGAAACAGACTGCTTGCCCTGAAAGCGCCCCTCTCTTCTAAAAAGTACAACGCATTTTTCGAATAGAGCAGGGTGTTGCCAGACGTCGGTGTCGTGACAGTGTCCATGGAAATGGGCCCGAGATGAAACGTGCGGTTGTTGTCAGCAACCCAAAGGTAGAGCGCGGTGGCTTGGAACGGGTCATCACGGAGAATCCCTTTCTGAGTGTACAGCATGACCTTCTTTCCAGCAATGGTCGCAGTGGTGAGGGACCCCACTCTCTCAACTGTTCGCGAAGAGTCTGGTAAAAACATGGAATGCACGCGTGTGAGTGTCGCGGCAGCCTCCCTCCACGTTGCCCCCATGTCCCTCGACTCGAACACCTTGGAGAGCGAATAGCATTTGGCAACCATGAGAAGCTGCCCCTGCTCCCACTCAACGATGAGGGGGTCAGTGCACCGTACGAGGAGCATCTCATGTGGAAGCACCCAATTTTTGCCGTCGTCCTTCGAATAAATGATCATGGACACAGCTTTGTTGTCTCCTTTCCTCCTCGCCGTCACAGGAAACACGAACGTGCCATCCTCCATCACAACGCCTGAGCCACCACCACCAACAAACTGGTCCAGGCCACGTTGTTTAGCAGATGGTTCGATCTGTGGTGCAAATGAGGTGGATTTGCCCCATTGGATGACTTTATCTTGCGTGGCCTCACCCACGAGCAAATCAAGACCCTGTGAGGATGCAATCCACTTCTTCGATGAAGGATCATACTTCTGATGATAGCCCCCCACAAGTAGAAAGAGCTTGTTGCCCTTTGCTATTGTTGTGGGTCGGACCGCATATCTCAGATAGTCGTTATGCTCCTCTTGCGTGGTCGTGTTAAAGATGTTGTACGCCTTCGATTTGTTTGCACGGACCTTAGCGACAAAAGACGGCCAGCTCTCCGCAGAGTCAGCGTACCCCGCCACAACATCAGCGTAAGTGACCCAATATTTTTTCCGATGGGAGTGTTGAAAGAAGATGTTACCCTCAGCAAGTGCAACCAACACTCCGCCAGCACTGGCGAGGGAGGGGTGGGCAAAAGAATCCCTCGTTTGGCTTTGGCCTTGTGTTTCCACAATCGTTCGATGCGGCACAAAAAGATAGACAGACTTTGGTATTTGCATTTCGTTTGGTTTATTCCTCTCAGCGTGCACAGCCGCACTGCCAAAGCATATCAGCAGCACGCAGAGGAGCTGCACCGAAAAATAAAACAGATGGCGGCACATATTGAGCATGTGCCACTGCTCACTCATTCTCTCTCTCTGCCTGTGATGGATACGCTCAGGCTGCAACGATTGTGTGGTATATGTGTGTGTATTGCTGGTTATGTCTGCAGAGACCTCAAAGCGCACAGCGGCAAGTGGTGTTTGGTTTCTTTCCTTCCGTATGTGTATGTGTGG